TTCCAGCACTAGAAGTCAAGATACTCCAAAAACTACCACAAACAACTTTACCAATCAAGAACTTAATGTTGACAGTCCAAAAAAGGCAAGTTTTAGGATTGTCAAGTCTAAGAAGGGACCAAAAACCCTCTAGAATCAAACTGAAATCTGAAGCAAGTAAATGAGAAGCAAGAGAACCCTAAGGCAACACCAGATCTAGGTTACAAGTTGATTGGATCAGCTGATTGAGAGTAAGAGATGATTTACCAACCTGTCAGGTGTCACTTCCAAGAAAAATACGATAACTTGTGCTGATCAAAACAGCCCTCAAAAGAATTCCAAACCAGAACCTAAACGTAGATAATGAAAGCCTTGAGAATACCCTTCAAACTTTGAGTATTGATGTTACAAGCTAGTACAGAGGACCTGCTCTGATAACATGTAAACCTTCTTGACTGAACTGTGCAGAGAACTTAGAGCTGATTTATGGGTGTCAAGAATGCTGACCCCCATCCCAAGGAGCCTCTAGGACATGTACAATTACAATAATGCCCATACAGGGCTGAAAGAGAAAAAAGAATAAAGAATACAAGTAACATAGTGTACAATAAGGACTATACTAATAAGATACAACAAGTCACAGAATCTCCGCATTATGGTCATGCCAAAATATCATATAAAATATATTGTCTTATATTCCAAGGATGTAGTTCAACTACATCAGTTCTTTAAGACACGTCACTTTTTTTTATCAATAACAATGAATTTTATTAATGACTGAGAAATTCAGAATTACAAAGGAATGAGCTAAAAAATCCTAACTCCCTACTACCCAAAGTACACCCAAACCATGAAACAATTACAAAACAGCCCAAAAGATAGAGTTTCTATTCACCCCCTGCCTAGCTAGCCCATCTGCCAAAGCATTTGCACTTCTTTTTACCCATGTACACTGTATTTCCATGTCCTTAGTGAGCCACTTGAACTTCCTCTTTTCATTGCTGTATTTCCAGAGCATAGAGTTGTCCTCTTTTAACCAATTTCACAATCCCCTTCCATGATCAATTTTTTAATATGCATTTCCATGTCCTTAAGACACGTCACTTTCAACTAAATTTCTTTGGCTAAAGCAGCATCTTTACCTTTATGTGAACTCACTCTAAAGAGGCCTTCCTAATCCATAGCTATAAGCTTATAGTGATTGCTGAAAATGTATTACTTGAGCAGCACCTGGGCAGTTTGGACAAAATGCATGTGCATAGATTTCTAGATGATCATTAACAACTACAATTTTTTAAGTTTTAACTTATGATTACAACCTTTAAGTGTGTAATTTTTAAAGTGTTGAGTGCATTACACTATTTTTTATTAGTAACAGAAACAATTCATTAACTAAAGAAAATTGAGAGATACAAAGGCAGGGGGGAGATAAAATCTCTTAACTCCCTCAATAAGCTAAAATTACATATAAGCCAGAACAAATGATTTCTTCCCAGCCCTTGTTTGGCCAATGCATCTGCAAAGGAGTTAGCACACCTCTTGACCCATTGTAAACTCACTACTATATCCCCAGTCAACCGTTTAAATATTCTTTTTTTTTCATTTAAGTAACTCCACATGCTACTGTCCTCCTTTTTCAACCGGTCTATTACCAATTTAGAGTCTCCCTCAATAATCAAACTACTTATGTTGAGTTCCTTAGCCCTTTTGACACCTTCCAAGACAATTATAACTTCAGCTCAGAGAGAATCTCCTTCCCTAATTGGGCCTGAAAACATAGCAATAATCCTACTGCCCTCCTAATTCCTAAAGACCCCTCCAATGCTTGAAGGGCCAAAGTTTGCCTTCACTACTACCATCAAAATTCAACTTTATGAAGCTAGGATCTGGAAGAGGCCACAATGGATGAGGAACATTCTTGCTAGGAGCTGAACAAGCCACTTCCTTCCAATTGTCTAGCAAAGCTGTTGTAGAAATGTCTTCAAATAACTTCAAAGATTTTTACACATTGTATTACCCTTGTCGTGATTACTTCAATTATTGCCCCTCTATTCCTTCCCTTATCAACAAATGTCTTTGGATTTCTTTCCTCCCATATTGTCCAACAAACTGCAGCCTTGGTACATCTCCACAAAACCTTCCCCCTCTTCTTTGTCCAACTACCAACAAAAGAATCAAAGAGACTTTGCACATCTGGTTGAGAAGTCCATCTGCAACCAAAAAAACAAGAAACCATTCCCAAATAGAAGAAATAAATGGACAAAAGATTAATAAGTGAAAGCAAAGACTCACCATCAGCTTTACAAAGAATACACCAGTTAAGAGATAAGCAGCAAAAAGGCTTCTGCCTTTGAAGGAAATCACCAATGTTAATCCTTCCCAAGAAAGTTTCCCAACAGAAAGCCCCAATCCTAAGTGGAACCAGTTTACCCCAAACTTTCTTAACTGGAAAGGTTTGCCAAAACTATCAAAATGCAATGTTAAAGCTTTAAAGAAGGAAGCAAAGGTAAAAATGCTAGATGGAGAAGGGATCAAGATACGTAATTGCTTAAAAAGATGTTTAAGGTGTATTGTTCAACCAAACCTATTATCTATATCAACCACAACAACAAATGCTTAACTCCTATATTTTGATGTCCATACACAATGAACCCATAGCCTTGGTTTGGGTGTGTCTATGTGGTCATCTTGGAAGATTCCCAYTCTCTTGCTGGCAAGGCAGGTCAATCCCATGCAAAAACTATGACTTGTTCTAGAGTATAGAACAGATTGAAGCAATATGTAGAATTTAAAAAAGATCTCCAACTTGTGTCACCTTTAGCTAAAATCTCTCTAAACCGACCTTGACATGCACTGAAACAGAGGTGGTGTAGGTACTAAGGTCGGATCCACAAATAGACAATTAAACCATGACTACCACTGTACTGTAGTAATGCCAGTGAGATTGGATAGTCTCCCCCCCCCAATAAAATGATCCAGGCTGCAGACCACAAGCAATGTTTCACTTTTCTTTAATCTCCTCTTTCCAGAAAGCATTCTCAATCTCTAAAAAAAAATGTATAGGAAGAAAGACCTTAGCCAACCTAGGAAGCTAACCGACTAGTGGGTTCATTTTAAACTTAAATAGCAATTATGTCACCCCTCTGAAACAGCAGCATAGCGTCCAGGGGCCATTTGGTATGTATATGTCCCTCATTGCCCCACCCCCCACAAGATGTGAAGCTTCTGATAGCCCATAGATATAGAAAGTCTAATCCCCAACAACAAAGTTAATGGAGCTAGTTTTAACCAAATCACTGATGTGAACCAGGCCAAAGTATGCTAGGATCACCATGCCAATTATTTCTGAAGCATCTCAATCCCTGATGGTCACGGATCTAAACTCTGTAAAGTAATGAAATAATCATTGCGACCTTATACTCATTAGAATTTGACTAGTTGGCCTCTCATCAAGTCCTTCACTGCTCTTTTTTCTTGTGACATTTGGAGGCATTTCATCAAGCTCTTTAGGTGGCAATGTGTAACCCCCACACAGCATCCCATACCTTATCAAAGTTTAGCCAACCAGGGGGGTTAGCAAGAAAGCAAACATTTTATGAAACCTTGTACCCTCTGCCATTTATTGATGCATCTAGAAGAAGTAAAATTAAGAGAATCCTTGAAGGAAAAAGTCATCTTCAAGTTGCTATTGTGGGCAAAATAGAACAGCTTATCTACTTTCTGGCTGTCCACCTATGATGTCTAGATATTTGCACATGCTTAGCATACTAGTGTTGGGCATGATACATACCCAATACAACAGATACTGCATCAACGTTTAAGAGTATCCTATATATATAGTGTTTAAGAGTGTCCTTTATCAGTGTATCACTGTATCCGATCCACCACTCCCAAGACCACAGATAATTGGGACCAACATTGGGTAATGGCCTTTTTATAGTAATATTTTTAAAATAAGTTTAACAAATCATACCATAAATATCTATATCTATATATATAATCATGAAATAAACATGTTAAATGGGATACCCGTACTTATATCCATGTCTGGTATCATAGGAAATGTACTCCCATTTCCCATATCTACGTTTATCATAGTTTTTCAAACCAGACAAGCTTTGAAGATTGAACTTAAAAATTTCTGTAGTGACAAGAATAGCAATCATTTTTGCACCCCTCCAAAATGAATAGTTGCGCATGATGCATATGTGGCATTGTGCACATTTTACATAGGGTCCTGATCCTTTCCCATGCTTTGTTTTTTACATTAACAATGCGATTGCACTGTACCTATCCCAAAAAGCACCATAACCTTGAAATGGTTACTACTCTCTCCAGATGCAAATAACCACATAGATCTAATTTGATCAAAGGACGGTCAAAAGGAAACATGTAATGAACTCCAAGGTAACACTTGCTCTAATAATCGAGAGAGAGAGAGAGAGAGAGAGATGATCGATGTAGTAAGTATCTAAAAGACTTCCGAACACGGCATTGACCTAGACAAAAAAGGAATGGCGAAACAAGACATGTTATTGCCCATATAGACATATAGTTAAAACTAGGATTTGAACGATGATAACAATGACAATAACATTACTGAGCTTTATGATTCTTACAGACTCTTGCTTGTCATCCACTGAATTTTACGTTTTATGGTTCTTATGGGTTCCTACAAGAACTTTAAGGAATACTCCGATACCAAATTTAGTAAAAAAAAAAAAAAGTACTTAGAGAAGATGAAATCCACCATTATCTGGCCCATTTAGTGATACACCGACCAACAATAAAAGCAAATGATTTTGCTACCATTAGATTAGATAAGGGAATTCTAGTGTGATAATAGACCGATCAGCCCAAATATACCAAATCATAATCTAGCGGCATCAACAACTGGCACCGGGCTCACTCACACCAGTAGAAACACAACCGAACAGAAAAACGATACAAAATACTAACTTGGTTGAAGAAACCAGGAAAGGGATACAAATCCAGAGAAAGAGGTGAATGGGTGTAGTCACCTGAACTCCGCCGTCGGCAAGACTACAAGGAGTAAGAACAGGGCCCAAGTGAGGCCTCTCGACGGCCACAGGGACTTGTACACTAAACCCTTTTGTGGGTCGACGAGGCTCTTGCCTATCTCCGCGATTACGATGATCATCTGGGTCATCGTCTTCATCCTTCACTTCATGAGCTTCTTCCCTCGCAAACCCTAGAATGGCCGCGATCCTTCTTAGAAATCCCATCTGTTGGTACGAGGATGTGCAGACTGGGAGAGAAAGTCTAGGTCAGCGTGCGACTAATTGGTCGGGCGTTGTCGGAGAGAGAGGAGAAGCGGAAGCCCGGAGGGGACAGAGTTGCTCGGGTCAGAACTCAGAAGGATTTCTCTCTCATGTGCTCCTTTGCAAATAGTTTGCGTACGAATGAGAGCCGTCTGTTAGGATTTCTTGATTGCTTTTGCTTAATACTTTAGGAAATTTGAGAGACTTTTGGTTTGGTAACACAAATCACAAATCACAAATCACAGGTTCTTGAAGGGGTATCTGTTTTTTATCCAAACTAAACAATCATCACTCAAAAATACCAAGAGGAATAGGCATGATGCAAGATCGCTAACCGATCAACCGGTATCATACAAGTGATGCCCTTTTTGTTTTTTGATAGATACAAGTGATGCCCTTGGATTTACGAAAACACCTTGTCTCCTTTCCTTAGACTTTTTCTTTCTTTTTTTTAAATAATATAATTAGCGGGGCCCATGCACGGGATGGGCCAGTCCTTCGTGTCCCCGTAGTGAATACACACTCTTTCCCATCTCCCTCCCATCGCCAGTGGCGGGGTGCTTGCTCGGGATGGGGAATCCCCAAAGTTGTATTTGGTTTGAAGGAAAAAGTAGGGAAAGGAAAGAAAAAGGTAGGGAAATCTTTATAAATCATGTATAGGTTTTTCTAATTTTCCTTTTTTCCCTATTTTTTCCTTCAAATTAAATATAGACTAAATTTTTCCTATCCCAAGTGGCAATTACCTAAATATAATATAATTTATGGATATTTTATAAATAGGATTATGAGAATTAATTTAGATGTATTTTAAGAATTGGATTATGATAATTTGGGGGATATTTTATAAATGGAATTGTGAGATCCTAAAAGTATAAGAATATGAATAAAACTTAGAAATATTTAAAAATCAATATTTAGTTTACTGATATTTTACTAATTTACCATCAAGTTAGGGAATTATATGCAAATCCCATCCTTGATTAGGAGCAAAAATATTTTTCCCATCCCCACCTTGTCTCATCTCCATCCCAATTTAAAATTTGAGAAAACTTGCCCCGTTTAGGATGGGGCAGGGTAGGGACCTAGTTTTATAGGAAAAATTGTCATCCCTACAATTCTAATAATTTTCTATAACTAATTAACTAATAGTAAATTAAATAATAATATTTTATGATAATTTCCAAAAATTATTGAAATTATTGTTGATTATCAAAAATGTATAGTAAATTAGTTAATTACAATAACAATAAATTAATGTAAATTATTTACTTTTTAAGCCTAAACTATTAACTGTTAATCAAAGTGATGTAATTACAGTAAAATAATGTAATTATGATAAATTACATTAATTTAATTAAAAGTAAATCATTTGTTGTTAATTAATGTAAACCAAGTATTGTTGAAGTCAACCAAGTGGTCTAGATTGGTGTGGATAGATTTAATAATTTTCCTAAATTGTTTTATTAAAATAATAGTAATGGATCATTACTTAAATAAATATGAAACATTTTCTGATAGATTAATTTCCTAATTTAATTTTCTTAAAATTTTTAATGATTATTTAGTTGAATAATAATAATAATGGACTATTATTTAAATAGTTTTGGAGAATATTTTTTTTGTAGATTAATTTTCTAATTTTTAATTATTGATTTTTTAAAACATAATGGATTATTAGAGAATTTCCCTTAATTATTTGATAATTGTTAACTATATTAATTATTGATTTTATAGAAATTAGTAAATTATGCCAATTAGTAATATCTTTTATGAACAAATAATTGCTGTAGAAATTTAATGAAAATTTATTAAATTACAATGGTTAATGTAAATTACGCTAAACATTAAAAATTTGAACATTTATTAATTAACCAATTGTTAGTTTTCACTAATGGTTGGTCAGTTTTGAGTGACCAACTCCCTAACCTGACCAAATTAGTTTGGCACGACAAACAATCTCCAATCGCACTGAATTGCCTAGTGAATACTCCTAATTTTAGCTAAATTAATAGTCTAATCTCTAACAAATAACAATAGTTTAATCTCCAATAATTATTGAAAATTTATAGCAAAAATACACAATTGCTGAAAATATATTTATAACGAAAATATAATAAATAACTAATAAAAAGTTTTAATACCTCTAAGTTATTTAAGTTACTTTCACTACTTCAATAATATTTATTTTTTCATTTATTTATATTTTATATTCTTATTAAAGTTACTACATAACTTTGTTATTTAATTTATTTCTTAAATAATGTTTAAAATATGATTTAGTATTCAATTCTTATATTGAAAGCATTTACATTTTATTTAAAAATAGTATATAAAACATAAATAATACCTTGCCCCATCTCAAACGAGGCAAGTTTTCTTAATCTTAAATAGGGATGGAGAAGAGACAGGGTGGGGATGGGGAAAATATTTTTGGTCCAAATCAAGGATGGAGAAGGGACGGGGATTTCATATAATTCCCCAAACCCGATGATAAATTAGTAAAATATCAATAAATTTAATGTTGACTTTTAAAAATATCTATAAGTTTTTCCTCATATTCTTATAATCCTATGGTCCCATAATTCCATTTATAAAATACCCCAAATTGTGATAATCCAATTTCTAAAATACCCCAAATTTCCGTAATCTTATTTGTAAAATATCCACAAATTAGATTATTTTTAGGTGATTGCCTCGAGTGGGGAAATTTTGGGGATTCCCCATCCCCGACGAGGAATGGGTGCCTCGCCTTCAACCCGCCCCGCCACCGGGGACAGGGTGGGATAGGGGAAGTGTCTTGACTACGAGGGGCGAGGGACAATGAGGGGTGCCACATCCCGTGCATCACATGGGCCCTTGATAGTTATAATTACTTTTTGAGCTTTTGATAATTTTTTAGTTACAACATTATTTTGTTATTTAATCTATTTTAGTTATTAATATTTTGATATTTAAAGTATTTAAAAAATATATATTTGTAATATTATTTAATCATTTAAATAAATACCATTGTTTAAAGTTAATTATTTATTAAATTTAATAATCCATGAAATTATAATTTATACTATAATTACATAATTTCATTATTAATTTTGTAAAATATAAAATTATTATTAATTCAAAAGCTATGAAATCTATTATAATTATTATTCTACTCTTAAGAAAATTTTTTAAAATTTATTACATAATTTTGTTATTTTAACTATTTAAAATTTAGTTATGTTAAATATTTAATTATTTAAATATTTATATAATATGTAATTTTTTGTTATTTAAAATTTATTTCTTTAAAATTATTATGTATTTTTAAATATTTTGTTACATAATTATTTAGCTACTTTTAATATTTTTTATTTAAATAATTTTTAATTTATGTTTTTCAAAATATTATTTAGTTATTAATTCGAATAATCCATATAAGTTATATTGTTATTACAGAATTTCATTATGAATTTCGTAAAAATATAAAACCATTAATAATATGAATATTATTAAACCTATTATAATTATTTTTTGTGTTCTTAATAAATATTTTAAAGTTATTACATAATTTTATTATAATATTTAAATAATTGTTAAATGTTTTAATTGAAACTTTCCTTGGATAGATATAAATGAAATGTGGGGAAGAAGATAAATAGGAATTAGAAATAATTTATGAGATAAATAGGAATTAGGGTGGGATAGTTAGTTTCCTAATAAAAAGGAAAGGAAAAAAGGAGATAGGCCATGTTAGGTGGCAACTCCTACTACTTCTAAAGGGAATCTTGCACCCCCTCTAGAATTGCTCAATTTAGGTAATAGAGCAAGGAGATGACTCATGGCATGGCAAACTCTACTTTAAGGAGACCTAACTCTTTATTATTTCAATTCATTAAAATTTGAAAATCATGCACTAAAACTCCAAACTTGCATAAAACCTATCCACCAACAAGTCATTTTGACCAAATTATAATGGACTATGGATAAAGAATTTCTCCACTAGCCTATTTTTTTTTATATAGATTCTACACGTGTCAACTTCAAATGATAATGATAATAATGTTGATGATGATAATTTTAATATTGTTATTAAATCCATATAATAAAGATAAATAATCAAAGCATAGTGTGTTAAAGAATTTATTACTTTTTCATCACTAGTAAGTGTGCATGTGCTTTGCACGTGGCAATTCTAAATGATGATAATGATAATAATAATAATATATTCAAAATTTTCTATAAACTTTATGTATTTTTTATTTTTTATTTTTTTTATATATTTTGTTAGTTTTTTTTACTAATCAAGTTTAAATTATAAAATCCAAATTTGATTACATAAACACCTCATCCAAATATGTAATGATTAGATTGACTTGTGAGATTCCAAGTACCATTAACAAGCCTACCTACTAAGCTAGACTCTTCTTTTTGCAGTATTTTATCTTTTTTGCATATATTTTTCTTTTGTTCATTTATCAAAAAAATATAAGATTTAAATAGAGGGAATTGAATGACGTGAAAAATAGTAATTTAATTTAAAATTTAAACCTTACAATTAAATAGGGACTAAATTAAAAAATGAGTATTTTAGCAAAAAAATTCCACAATCTTATTCATATTTTTAATAGTAGTGTAAGTATAAAATTATAGATGTGTTCAATTTTTCTATAATTCTTTTGAATTTTTATCTGCAAAAGTAATTTTGATATATCACACTTATTTTTTTGTTTAATATGATAAATATATGATATTCACTTGTGCCTAAATGTTTTTTTTCAAAATTTATGTATTTTTTATTTTTATATTTTATTAATTTTTATTATTTATTTATAACATTAAAGGTTAACACATTTAACCCAAACGTTGAACTATTTGTTATTAATTTTTATATTTCAATTTTTGTCAATTCTAAATTATGTATTTCATTTTTATTATCAATAAAAATAATTATTGTTTATTACACTTATTTTTAATTTGATTACTAATGTTCGCTCAGACCCTTAGAGAACATCAAACATTAAATTAACACCACGAGGTTGCATGCGAACAGCCCACAGTCAATTTTCTTGTTGCGATGAACCTGCAATTCACCACAAGTCCTACGAAGAATTCATAGCGCGCATCGCAGAACCGCGATAAACCCGCAGTTCATCACACGCCTTCGACAAGCCCACTCATAGCCCGAGCCAAAGAAAACCATGGCCAAACCCGTGACAGGGCCCCACACCTGTTCGAACATGCGATAAACCCACGACCCATTAAAGAAGTACGCCCAGACGA